CAACTTAACTGCTCATTGGAAGAGCAAACTATACTTCAATTTTTGCCTCTGACCGTTGCATCTTGTCAAATTGTCTACTTGTGGACGAAAGACGACAAAATCTTTAGACTTAAGTATCTCTTGTCAATTTGACTGCTTGTCAGATAAAGTAAAACTGCATACAGTCGACTCTATTCCGTGTCGTTGTTGCCCATGTCCTATATGCCGACGTTTCGGGGTTTCGATCACTGAAATGTTTAGCTTTCACTGATTTAGCACCTTTTCTAATTTTATTTTACTCGTTTTTACGCAAAAGACATAGTAAAATAAGAACTCCGTTCCTTGCTCAAGGATACACTACCAGAAAATAGTACTTTGAACGGAACTAATTTCCGTATTTCATCACAGTATTTAGGCAAAGAAGAAGCAAGGTTGAATGGTAGAAAGCTGCGTATAAAATTAGTGTATCATTACTTCAAAATATTAGACCTTTTAGAAAGTAATGGCGTATGTCAACGCTATAAATTATGAATCAGCCAACCTGGACAGAGAGTATTAAAGAGAAAAGCAAAAAAGCTTGCTGTTTAAAATACCATAATAATTCATGTGATCTTTGCACTCTCAGAACTATGGAATTAGCAGCTTCGAACCACTCAAGTGCAGAGGAAAGGTTCGATTTTTATACTCCCCGCGGAGTAGCGATATGATGATTTTCCAAGTGCAGCTTAAATATAGCATATGCCGAAAACACGGGGCATTTAGTGAGGATCGAACTCACTTGCCAGTCATAATTATTCGAGTGAGACAACCTTACTAACCATTACACCACGTTGAATTATCCCTATAAGAGCTTTGATATGACTACCATTACCTGGCCAACATATTTAAGGGTCCGTGAGGAAATCAAATCATATAAATGTTATTATTATTATTATTATTATTATTATTATTATTTCCTTTGATTTCTTTTGCATGCTCATTATTTCCTTTCGGTGTTTTAGTAGGTTCCCTTGGGAGTCTGTTGTATTTTGGCAAATGTCGGATTGAGGAAAGATGGGTGTCCTCTTGTGATAAATGAGTAAATTGTAATGAATGAATGGTTAGCGAATAAGATTAGTTAGATTTAGAATAGACCAGCCCCACCCCTCTTTCCCTTTAGCCTTGTGCCAAAATTGTATGTAAAAATTCAATCTACTCAGGTTCCAAACAGATATATCAGGTCAGAAATGGTTTCACGATATTTTCGACTGATCATTTTTTTTTTTTGGTAAAAGAAACATACAAAAGAACCTAAAATCAAACACATTTTACATAGATAAAGCCCTTCTTAATGTGTGAACTGTACTTGCGAGTACAATTTTTTGTATTTCTTTGAGATGTTGGGCTACCTAGAATCCCTTCAATGAGTCAATCGGAACCTTTTGAAATCAATCCTTGGGCTCCAGCTACAACTTGAATTAGTGATGTCATTATGAGCCACATCTTTTAGACTTCCACTTGAAGATCCTTTTATTTTGATAGTTTTTTGAAGATCTTCAAAGACAGATTACAATCTACGGAGACTGCCATGACATTAATCATATAAGAAATAACCATCGCAAGGATCAATGTCTTCTGAAATGTTTCGTCTATCTAATTTCCCTATCAAGTCTTGGGACCAACATTGGTTTCGTTTTCAAAGACTTACCCACGCTTTCAGGGATCGTTTATCCATCACAATATTATCTAGTCGCCGATTAGATGAATCGATCATGGTGAGATTCGAAAAACGGACCACTGGCTCAGAATGCTAAAGGAAGCATATCCGACTAGCTCTTATTATTATTATTATTTTCTTTGATTTCTGGCGTTTACACATTTCTTTCCGGGTCCTGCTCAGGGACCTAAGGGTAGAAATGGCATCATGACACTGTCCACTGACAAAACAAAAATTACATAGATAAAGCCCTTTGTAAAGTGTGTGCTGTACATGTCAGAACAATTTTTTGTATCTCCTTGAGGCATGAACCTCCAGGAATCCTTTCAGTTAGTCTTCTGGAATCTTTTCCAACCAATCCTAGGGCTCCAACTACAACAGGGATTGTTGATGTCCCCATATGCCACATTTTCGAGATTTCTATTTTAAGGTCGTTGTATTTTGACAACTTTTTGAATATCTTCAAAGATACATTGCAGTCAGTAGGGACTGCCATATCAATAAGGAGGCACTTTTTTTGTGGTCTTTAATAACAATATCTGGGCGGTTGACTTTGATTGTTCTGTCAGTGTGTATTGTGTAATCCCATAGAATTGTAACAGGTCCTATCTCCGTAACCGGGTCTGGGTGGTGTTCATACCATTTTCTTTCAGTTTCCTTCCCGTAGAAGTTGCAGATTTTCCAATGCAGATATTGGCCCACTCTGTCATGCCGGGTTTTATATTCAGTGGGTGTCAATATCGTGCAACCTGATACAAGATGATCAATCGTTTCTGGATATTTATCACAGAATCTGCATTTTGGGCTGACACAATATTTTAGTATATGTGCTTGATAATTCCTAGTTAGCAAGCATTAGTCCTGTGCAGCAAGGATAAAACCTTCAGTTTCAGCATTCAACCCTGCACTACGTCGCCACTGATGGGTACGGGTTTTGTCTACGTCAGCTTGTTTGGTACGGGCAGAGTATTGGCCATGAAGCGGTTTATCTTGCCATCGCTTCTGTATCTGGTCGGTTGCATTCGTCTTTGCTGTCTTTTGTCTGCTATAGTACTGCACCCACACCAATCGAAAAGGCGTCAACTGTCAAACACAACTCGCTATCTGGGACAACATGTGAGAGTTCAACTGCTCGGGACAATAAATCCTTAATTCGATGGAAGGCAGCCAAGGCTTCATCAGACAAAACTAAGTCACAATTTTTGACATCAGTTAGAATATCTGTCAAAGGTTTTATAACCTGCGCATAATTTGGCAGGAACCTTCGAAAAAAGTTATTATTATTATTATTATTATTATTATTATTATTATTATTTGAATTGGGGGAAGAGGGATGTGTTCTTGGGTCGAATGAGTAAATTTTAATGAATGAATGGGTCGCGAATCAGATAAGCTAGGTTTATAAACAGTGACGACCAATGTGTTTATGGCTGACATCCACTTTTTTCCGAATTTGCCAAAATTATAAAAAAAGTACAATATACTCATTTCCTTCTGAGTTCCAACCAGCGTTCTAAGGTCAGAAATGACATCATGACATTTTCTACTGCTAATTCTTAATGTAAAATATATATATATATATATATATATAATATTTATGTTATTATCAAAACTAAATGAATTAAAAAAATGTTTGTCAAACTTTGAAATTGGGCATTTTTCTCAGAGATTCAAAAAGATAACTGAAAAAAACAATAATTTTTAAAAGATCATCTTTCCGTTTAAAAATCACGCCATTTATCCTATTGGATCATTGAAAAGAAATGTGTTTTTTGTCCATCGTTTTCGTCATAATGAACTGAAATTCTGTATTTTAATGAATTTGTTTTGAAAATGGTTTATTAAAAACCGAAAACGTCTGACGTCGACAAGTTTTCATTTTAACTACATTTATGGATTTTGTTTGTTTTTTTAAATTTTAAGGATTCTGTCGGATTTTATCCATTTACATAATTAAAGATATACATATTGCATTTGAAACACAAACCTAAATTCGTTTTTTTGTAACATGGAAGATTGCAGGCTTATCCGGAAGTACAGGAATTTTAAAATAATCACGAACTTTTAGGAATACGTTATGAAAGCGTCGCCCATGTGACTACGGCGTGACCACGTTAAACGGAAAGCTGATCTTTTTTAAAATTTTCAGTTATCTGTTTTACTTTTGATAAGACTTGTGTTTTATGTCCATCGTTTTTCGAATATTGAACTGAATTTGTATTTTAATGAATTTGTCTTGAAAATGGTTTATTAAAACCGAAACGTCTGACGTCGACAATTCTTTCATTTTAACTACATTTATGGATTTTTATTTGTTTTTTATTTTTTGGAATTTCAATGGATTTTTAAATAAAACATTTATTTATAAATATATATAACGAAATTCAAAGAAAGAAGAAAAAACATTCATTTAAACAAAGGGTAGGGAGATCATTAAAGAATAGAAGGCGCGAGCGAATACATACATATATGAAAAACAGATCAAGCCAAGAGAATCAACTTATCTTAGCAGTCGGTTGATATCTTCACATAAAGTTTTGATTCAACGAAGGAGAGTTCTGATGATAAAACAATATCTTGGCCGTTTTTTATTTTCCTGGATTCCTTTTTTTTTTCACAAGTGTTCGAGGGTCCACAGCATTTCTATACAGGCGTTTGGTTGTATTGATCAGTCCATTTATAGTCCTTTTATATCTAGTCGACAGAATTTGCTGTCTTCTTCACCTCAGTGGGCGGTCTGACGATTTTTGCCCAGCGACGTTCAACTGCCGCTGGTCAGAGGGAAACTGAAAAATATTTTTTTGGTTTTCGCTTTTTAACGACAGTCACGTGGGTTCCTTTCGTTCTTGACCGGGTACCCAGGAGGATAGGGGCGCAAATCACGCAGTGCCTGTGTGATGGCCAAAAGTTCAACACATTCTCAGTAATGTTCCGATATGGAGTGAATCGCAAGGAGACCCCTGATGGTGCCTGGAATTCACTTATGGTCAGCCGCCTGATAGCTGCGAAATCTTGGAACCAGGTCATTCTCGCGTCGGGTCACGGGCCCTTGGCTTGTGGGTGAAGAGATATAAGGAGAAAAAAATTTGTGAAGAAAAAGGAGGTATGGTCTGATCATAGAATATATTCGCTCGCAAGTCGAAAACATTGGATTAAATTTCTATTTTTATTTATTAATTTATTTATTTATTTTTTCTTTTATATCTAACTAATTGTCTCTTTATTTAAGATTTTACTTTTTAGCCTAACGCCTATATGGTTAATGAAATCGTGGCTCCGTGACAATATATATATATATATATATATATATAATGGATATTTTTGATACAGTACCAATCGTTCCCAAGCGGTCCCCATCTAAAATACTGACCTGGCTCTAAAGATGCTTAACTTTACAGATCGTACGAGAAACGGTTTTTTCAGATTGATTTGACCGTAAAGTGTCCAACCCTTACCTCACAGTCGGTGGGGCGGTAAAACAGTAAAATCAGAGCTATGCCGCTTTTGACTTCGTTCCTGGTAGGGATATAAATATATATATATACAGGTCTGACACATAAAATTACGGCAAACAAGGGCTCTGGTGAAAATCCAAGGAGCGTCTGCATCGGCAACCGGCGGCTTCTGGTCGTTCCTGTCTCTGCGTCTGTGGGAAATTTCGCGGCAAAAAGAACGTTATCCGAAGTAGGCCTGGGTATTAAACTATTTCTGTAATTTATCCCAAGAATCTTCTTCTCATAACAGGGAAGAAGCCGGCTTTATCCGCCCAGGGTGAATGCCGCATCAGTACAGTCAGTACAGTATATATATATATATATATATATATATATATATATATATATATATATATATATAACTGTGTGTGTGTGTGTATGTGTGTGTTCAATATGTGTGTGTTTGTGTGTGTGTGTGTGTGTGTTTTTTTTCAGAATCTTTTTTTTTATTTTTTTTTCCTAACTTAGAAAAATTTTTTATGAACCATGAGGGTTTTATTTTGAAAACTGGTATTAATGTTGTCCTTACCTATCATATTTCCCAATTCAAGATTATTATATTTTAATAGTTTTTTTTTAATCTTTAAAGACACTTTACAATCTGCAGGGAGTGCCATGTCAATAAGAAAGTACATTCTGATTTTGTGATCTTTGATCACGATGTCCAGGCGAATAGCTTTGTTTCATCAGTATTTGCGTATTTGTAAAGCCCCATGAAATTGTTTAAGCATTTTATGTTTGTCTTTAAACGGGTCTATTTTATTTTATAGTTTTTTTTGCCATTTCAAAGAAATCAGTATTTTTATGCTCAGATCGTTTACAGTGGGTATGACTTACACTCTCCTATTTGACTATAATCTGCACTTTTCCTATTTGAAACTATCATAATTTTCCATTTTTTTTTATTCTTTGTTAACTAATCTATCGTCTCCTGGGCATGCTGAATCCATGATGGTGCATGTCCTTTCTCTTTTCTTCTTCTTCTCCTCCTTATTATTCTTCGTGTTGTTGTTGTGACGGCCATGTTGTTTTCCGCCATCTTTCCGCATCTCTCCTACTATTTATCATAATACAAATAGAGGCACACATAACATTCTTTTTAATCTATCGTCTATTTTTCTGCATCGCTCATCTTCCATAATACGGCGCAAAAGACATTGTTATGCATATCTTTGCCTTCTGGTCACGTTCACTGTTCTTCGTTCTTATCACTTCAAATTTTGAAACACTGCGCCATCGTTTTAATGGATTTTATCAGCAAAGTACGCGATTTTTGCACAGTCATTTTTATTTCAGTTTATTTGGAAGAAGAAATAACGCTGGCAGTCATATTTAAATTTGTGCTCAACAATGCGAATTAAATCTAGCATCAACGATTTGGCTAAAATAAAATTGATGACACGGTTCGTCTCGCAGAATTTTTTTTTTTTTGTCTGTTTTGTTTCTTTCTTTTTGTCTTTTCTTTGTATTTACTGAAATTCTGTTATTCTAAATAAAAAGCCGATGTTTTCGTTTAAGGAGAAAAAATACAAATTCAAATCTAATTCAGACAACAACAAAAAAAAAAAAACACCCGAAAGAAAATGAAAAATAATAATGCAAGTCAAGCTCAGAAAATAATTAAATAAAAATACTTTTCCATGGCAACTATAATAGATATACAGTTCATAATTACACGGCTTATCTCTGTTTACATCCTTTGTTTGGTTTCCATGAACATTAGCCAAAATTCGATGAAGATTACTATATTTTTCAGGTGCACTTCGTTTTATCGGTTGTCGCCCATACCTCTCTTGTTACTGTTGGACTGCGTTAGCTACCGCCTATTCCTGCTCACATCCACTGTTTGTCTTCTATATATATTTTCCAAGCGTCGATGAAGATTATTTTTTTTTGATAATCCACAAATGAATTTAGCTATCCTAAATATCCCCATAATGAAAATTTTTTTTTCGTTTTTTTATCCTCTTCAATTATGAGTTTACCTTGAGTGGCACTTTGGCCTTTTATTGAGTGGACAATAGTATAAAGAGCTACAAAATCTATATTACCGCATGTCACAACCTTTTGCTATGCATATTCAAGATGCTGTCATTACCGCTGAAACATGTTACCCACCAAACAGACTTTTGATTATCACATTTAAAATAAAATCTCTTTGAAAAAAAGTATCTCTCTCTTTCTTTGAACATCTTTCATTTCCTCTAGCTATCGCTTGGAAATCTTCAAATAAATGATATCTTTTCTAAAATTTTTTGGTTTAATAAATAATCACTTTCTCTCTCTCTCTTCTCACTCAGTCTTTCGTTAACACTTGTTAAAGTGCAAAATCTTATCACTCTCTCTCTCACATTTTTTTGAAATATATTAAAAATTCTCTATTTGTATTAGCAAAATAATCGTTGAATTATTAAATATTATTTCATTATCCTTTCGGAGGATGACTCCATGGAGTGCCAAATATTCTCTTTCCATAACACTCGTTGAACGACGAAATATTCTCTCTCATTTAAAAAAAAAAACAATGTTTTTCGTTTTATATACGCAACGGTTTACCAAATATTTAACCTCTTAAAATTTTTTCACTTTCAATTTCTGCATTTTTCAAATCATTGGAGTAATTATATTATTTCCTCCCTCCCTCACTCTCTGTCTCCTTGGAGTAACAAATATACTGTCTCTTTCTCTCTTTAACACTTGTTGGACGACCAAATATTCGCTCTCACTCACTAACTCTCTAACATGCATTGGTTTAATAAATATTATATCTACCACTATCATTTTCTTTTTTTTTTTTTTTTTCTTCTTTAACCATGATTGACGTTTACCAAATGCATCTCTCTCTCCTTCAATCTCTCTGTCTCATAAACACGCACCGGTTTACCATATATAATAATTCGTTTTCCCTTTCCCTTCCCAAACTGTGTAAGAACTCTCTCTCTCTCTTTATAAACCAGGCATAATGGAGTTTCATAATTTTCATGCTTTTTTATTCTTCTTGAATCTTATCTCTCTCTCTCTGAGTCTTGGAATACTTTTTAAAATAAAAAATTTCTTTTCTCTGGATAACAATGTCATAAAGCACTGCCGAATATTCAAATCTCCAGAATTTAACAAAAACTTGCAGAATCTTAGTAAATTTCTCTTTAAGATAAATTTAAGAAAAAAATTCTTCATAAAACACATTAAACTACTAAAATATTATCTCTCTCGATATCTATCATTTCTTTTTTTTCTTTCAAACATTTCTTCAAAAATTTTTCTTTCTTTTTCAGTTTCTTTCTTTCCTTAACGCATGTTACGTTTACTAAAAATTACCTCTCTCTCCTCCTGGAACTTGGTATATCCAAACTTATTATACATAACATCAGTTGGAGAAATAATATTATTTTTTTCAAGTCAAAATCTTTTTCTCTCTAAATCTCTCTCTGAATGAACTTACTTTTGAGGTTCTGAAATATTCAGACATTCCCCAAAAACAAGTTTTCTAGACTACCAAAAATTATATATATAAATATATATCTGAAGGTGTATTTATTCCTGAAAACCTTTGCAAAAAATCTCTCAAAGTCTATTAAGAAAAGAAAATTTTTATATTATAAAATATTTGGTGATCAATCAAAATGCAGCTTGACGAAAAATTCTTTTATTACAACTATCATGAAATATTATATCATATAAATACGTTTTTTCTTTTGCGTTGTCTTCTCCTTACCTTTTTTTCAATGCAGACATTTTCATTTTATAAATAGCTTTTCTTTGATACTGCTTTAGATTCTTTTATTTTCTTTTTCTTTTTTTTTCACGACTAAGGTTAGAAAATGGATGTATTTAGTTTTTACAAAACACGCATATTTTATATTTATAGTATAAAAATAATTGTATAAAAATTTTTTTCTCCAGTGAGTTGTCTTTTTTTTATTATTTATTTTATCCCCAAGATGTCCAATGCAAAAATCTTAACTGCAAATTTTTCTGTATAAATTTCTAAAAGCGTTTATTAATACAGTAAATGATAAGGTTTTTTAAAATTTTTTTGAGATTTTGGTAATAAGGGTCCATTTAAATTTTCCTGTCACTTTTCTATTTCTTTCAAAACCTCATCAAAGAATCTCCTCCATGTTTCAAAATACATATTTTTATTTTTATTGCAAGTTCCAGGTATTTTGACCGATCAGTTAGCGTTAATTTCATTTTAAATTTCTAAAATCGTCTGCTGAAAATAGATTTTTTTTTCCGGAATTTAGACTTTTCAAGCGAACTGTTATCTCTTGTTCTACCAATGATGGAACTTTCCTTCCAAACTTGTCTTTAAGCTATTGTGGAAAGTCAATATTACGATCATATCATTATTTTAATTAAAGCTATATGTAACTACTTGACTGGTTCTTTGAAAAATTTGAAGTGATGATAAAAAAGTTATTTGGTAAAGTTCTTTAATCGTAGGGACAGTCTATAGGGTCAGATGTGCGATTTCCCCTCTTTACAACGTAAAGGCTTCGTTCTTTTCAAGCAATTTCTAATGCAGATCAATATTTTTTAAGAAACCTTTAAAAGAATTAAAAATAAACCTAATATGCGGATTTTGTGGCTTATTTTTGTCAATTATTTTTTTACAACTTAAACAAACTAAAAAGGGCAATATTGACAATATGTTCACATCATCTATATATCGTGTCTACACGATTCACTATTATGTTTACCTGGTAATTCCAGCTAAATAGACTTTGATCATTAGCAGCCGTTATAAATGCCCCCATTTCCACTTTAACGTTGCATTCTTCACGCAAAATATATGTTTATATGCAAATTATTATTATTATTATTATTTCATTTTTTGATTTCTGGAAATATTAAAACGTTTTTGAGAGATCACAGACCTAATTTTAAATAGCATCATGTCATTCTCAAATGACAATATAAAAATAAAAAAAAATATTTTAT